CTTTCCTTTCCTTTCCTTTCCTTTCCTTTCCTTTCCTTTCCTTTCCTTTCCTTTCCTTTCCTTTCCTTTCCTTTCCTTTCCTTTCCTCCATTTCCATTTCCATTTCCATTTCCATTTCCATTTCCATTTCCTCCCGTCCCTCCCCTCCCCTATCCTCAACTCGTATCCTCTTTTCTCTCTCCCCTTTCCCCAAACCCCTCTACCGTGTGCCCACAAACCCGGTCAGGCACTAAAACCCAACTCCACAAATCCCTAAAATCCCTAAAATCCCTCTCCGCTTTCCGCGGCCTCTCCCGCCCCTCTCCCGCCATCGCCGCCCCTCAGGCGGGCCCCCCCCCTCCCCCGCCCCGCAATGGTTCCCCCCGGCCCGCGCCGCAATGGTTCCCCCCGGCCCTCCCCGCAATGGTTCCCCCCGGCCCGCGCCGCAATGGTTCCTCCCGGCGCGGTTCCCCCCGCCCGCGCCGCGGTGGTGCGGCCGGCGCGCGGCGCGTGACGCGCGAGCCATGGCGGCCGTGGCGGCGCTGCCCCCGGGGCCGCTGTCGCCGCCTGGCGGGGGCGCGGCGGACGCGGCGGGGCCTGAGGGCGCCGAGGGCCTGTTCGTGCTGCTGGGCGCGGGGCTCGCCGCCGCCAGCCACCCCCTGCTCTACGTCAAGCTGCTCGTGCAGGTCCGCTCGGCGGTGGGAGCGGGGAGGCGGACGGTGGGGTGGGAGTCCCGTGAGTGACGGGGGTGGCGGCTCCAGGAGAACGGGATTAACGGGAGGATGTCCCGTTAATGCGCCCATGGAGGCCTCCGTGCGCTGGGGGTCGCTGTGTGTACAGCCCTTCCCGTGTGACGGGGCCCCCTGCGCGATGGGGGCGCCTGTGGAAGGGGGGTCTCAGTGTGTCTGTGTGTAACGGGGTGGAGAATCGGGACCCCGGTGGAACGGGAGGAGGTGGATTCCTGCAGTGTCCCTGTGGAAACCCCCATGTTATAGGGTTATATGTACATGTTATGTTATATATGGACAGCACTCGCCCTTACAGTGGGACCCCCTGTGCAATGGGGGCAGCTATAGAATGGGGGGCACCTGTAGAATGGGGGACCCCCATATGTAACGGGGTGTCCCTGTGGAAACCTCCATGTTATAGGGTTATATGTACATGTTATGTTATATATGGACAGCCCTCGCCGTTACAGTGGGACCCCCTGTGCAATGGGGGCAGCTATAGAATGGGGGATCCCCATATGTAATGGGGTGTCCCTATGGAAACCCCCATGTTATAGGGTTATATGTACAGTATGGACAGCCCCCCACATTAACAGTGGGAACCCCTGTGCAATGGGGGCAGCTGTAGAATGGGGGGCACCTGTAGAATGGGGGACCCCCATAGGTAACGGGGTGGGGTCCCTGTGTGTGATGGGGGATTGGGACCCCAGTGGGGTGCAAGTGGATTCCTGGTTCGTGCCCCTGTGGAGGCCTCCATGCCCTGGGGGTCACTGTACATGCAGCCCCCCCATTAGAATGGGACCCCCTGAGCAATTCCAGAACGAGGGACATCTGGGTAATGGAGTGCCCCAAGGGAATGGGATCCCCTGTACACTGGTGGACCCTATACAAAAATCAGGTTCTCTATAATAGGAGGGTGAGGATGCCTTCTACAACAGGGGCACCCTATACAGGGACTAGAGGACGCCATATAATGGAGGGGTGAGGCCCCCCATACAGTGGGGGCTCCTTTGTAGTGGGGTGCTGGGACCCCTCCTGGGAATGGGGACACCCAGTAATATGGAAACCCCTATAAAATTAATCCTCTACCATGGAGTCTTCCATATAAGAAGGGATAGGAAACCCCAAGACCCAGTCAGTAACAGAGACCCCCTAAAATGGGAGAGTGGAGGACCCTCTGTAACCTAGGGACCCCATAAAATGGGGAAATGAGTGCCTGAGAGTGATAGGGGGATGCTGGGATCAATTCTGTTCATCCCAGGGACTTTGAGAACGCCAGAACAGAGACCTGCTCACGAGGTTTCTCTCTCAGGTTGGGCATGAGCCACTACCTCCAACCATTGGAAGAAATGTATTGGGAAGGAAGGTCCTGTACCTGCCCGGCTTCTTCACCTACGGTGAGTGACTGTCCCTCCCTGCCAGCACGAGGTCCTGCCCTCATGGAATCAGGGCTGGGAGCTGCCAGGCAGGCTGAGCTGACCCCCAGCAGCACTCCCACCTCCCCTTGGGATCATTCCGAGGCTGCAGTGAGGCATAAACCACCACAACTGCTTGTAAGGCTGTCAGATTCATGTACCTGTTGCTGGAGACAGGGGGGTGTTGGTGCTGCATCGTGTTCCTGTGACACTTTGCTCTGGGTTTGCACCGTGGTGGAGGGGTTTGGGAGGTTTTAGGTGGTGTAGGCTTGTTGCAGAAGGATTTTTTGTGTTTTGGAGGTTGCAAAATACTTTCCTTCTGCTCCAAAACAGCCCTGGAATAACCTGCCCCCTGCTCTGCTCATTTGTGTTGTAGATGGAGCTGTAAAGGGACAAAAATACCAAGAAAAGGGCAGCTAATATGTTTAGAAGGAAAAAAAAAAAAAAGTGTTTTCCTGTTTTTGTGGGTGCAGCAGCAGGAGAGGTGGGTGAATACTTTGTGACCTGCTGTCACAGCAGGTTTCCCATGGGGAAAGGGAATGCACTGTCCTGACAGCTGACTTGGTCCAATCCCAAAATCAGCCAATGGTATCCATGGGATGGAACCAGCACAGGAGCAGGATGAGAGCACTGGAAGCCCATCCTGGGACACCCAGGGCTGGAAATGCTCCAGTGCTGCCCTTTGGAAGATACAAGTTCCAAAGAGATGGGAAGTGTTGGGTGGTGGGGAGGTGCAGAGCCCACCTGGCTTTGCGTGGACAGCACAGGACAGGGGTCAAGAGCACATAGTGGGTTCTATCCCACCTTATTGTATGTAGGAGAAATGGGATCTCTGGGCTTTTTTTGCAACTGAAGACCTGAGGAAGTTTGCCTGGGAGAAGGTGGTGGGGCAGGAACTGAACATGGGTTTGTGAGATCCGTATGAACCCTGAGTCAAACCTTGCTGGGGTGGAGGAGGAGGTGACAGCACAGAGCACATGGGATGATCCCCCCCTGCCTGGTTCAGTCCAAACTGCTTTGGAGCCCTTTCAGGTGAGCAAAACCATCAAAAGACAAAATAGCCCAAAATAGCCCAAAATAGCCCAAAATATTGTAGCTGTCCTTCCAGATTAGGCAGATGACAGTAAGAATTCTTGTCCCCCAGTAAGAAGTTTCTTTAGGACTGTGACAATAAATCACTGTGGGGCCGTGGAGTGGCTGCCGTACCGAGCTGAGCCTCGTATGGTTTCAGCTGAACCCTGGGGCTGTTTTGGGGTGCTCTCCTTGCATGGTCCCCTTCCCCACTGACAGCAGCCTGGTGTTGTCCCATCCAGCCAGGCACATTGTGGAAGTGGATGGGAAAAGAGGCCTCTTCCGTGGCCTGACTCCTCGCCTCATCTCAAGCACTTTATCAACCATCACCAGGGGGAGTGTGAAGAAGGTAAAGGTCAGCTTCTCTCTCCATTAATCACCTGCAGGGTCAGTGCTACTGCAGCAAGGGCTGCACAGGAGGACTGATGCACCATCCCTCTCCATCTCCTAAGGGAATAGTCCTCCAGTGCCCTTATCCTCAAAGCATTTTTTTGATAGATTTATAAACCATTTTAATTTGATTTGGCATCCCTGTGCCTTGTATACTCTGTCAGCAGTTTTGTGACTCCTCTGTTCTTGTATTTTACTTTCCATCCTTTCTACTCTTGTGTTCCTTCTTGCCTGTTTGTCTTGTCCTTGTATCTAGAGCATGGCTTTTCATGGTTTCCCCCTGTCCTCAGACATTGTGGGTCAGCATCTTCATCAGTTCTGACTGTGTTGCTTCCCTCTCCACTCAGGCTTTTCCACTGGAAGACATGGAGCACGTGTCTAACAAGGATGATATGAAAACTTCACTTAGGAAAGTGGTCAGAGAGGTGAGAAGTGGATATTGTGCATTAATCAGTGGCTGGGGAAATCCCTGGGGACTTGGGTGAAATTACTTGGAGAGAAACTGGGGTGAGAAGTTTGTGGTGAGAAGTGTGTAGATTTGTTTGTCAGTTTAGTGGCTGTTCTGTGTCCATCCATGAACTAAATCACAGGAGTAGAAGTTTATCACAAGAACACATCTCTAAAGAGGGACCCGAAATGTGTTTTCCCACACTGAGGGAAAGAGCCTGGGCTGTGCAGGAGGAGCAGCACAGTTTTTCTCACAGGTGTTTTCTCCTCCCTCCCCAGACGTCCCATGAGATGATGATGCAGTGTGTGTCCCGGTTTGTCTCACACCCGCTGCACGGTGAGTCCTGTCCCCTGGCTGCAGCCCCCTCCAGACTGGGCATCACCCAAACCCTGCTTACTCAGGGGGATGATTCTTATGATACTTCTCTGTCACATGAGGCTGATGCTGGGCTTTGCCTTCAGCCACTGACACCACTGAGCAATGTGTTTCTCTCTTTCCACTCATCCAGGACCTTGTCCTAGAGATTCCATTGGGGTTAGGGCCAGTAGTAGCCTTCCAGAGCCTAAAGGGGCTCCAAGAGAGCTGGAGAGGGACTTTGAACCAGGTTATGGAGAGACAGGACACAGGGAATGGCTTCCCACTGTCAGAGAGCTGGGTTAGATAGGATATTGGGAAGAAATCCTTCTCTGTGAGGGTGGAGAGGCCCTGGCACAGGGTACCCAGAGCAGCTGTGGCTGCCCCATCCCTGGAAGTGTCCAAGGCCAGGCTGGACAGGGCTTGGAACAACCTGGGACAGTGGAATGTGTTCCTGCCCATGCCAGGGGGTTTGGAAAAAGATGATCTAGCAGGTCCCTTCCAGCCCAAACCTCTCTGTGATCCTCTGAAATCCTTCCCACCACTTACAGGCTCAGGAAAGGCCCCAGTCTCTAATGAGTCTTGCAGTGCCGATGACCACTGAGAGGAGCTGGAGATGCTGTGAGTTGAGGGAGAGCAGAAGGGTCATGTTTCATTTTCCTTCCCATCCATTACAACCCAAACTGGATTTGTTTGTCTATCAGCCCTGTGTTTCTTTCCTCCCAGTGATCTCCATGCGCTGCATGGTCCAGTTCGTAGGCCGGGAAGTCAAATACAGGTGAGTGGCTGCAGGGTCTGGGGTCTCCTGTGTGCTCCCATGCCATGGCAAATAGGTTGTCCAGGAGGCTTGAGGGACTGAAAAAGGAATCTGAGCTGTGCTTAGATGGTGGGGCTTGAAGGGATGTGGGAAAACTGGGCTCTGTCCCTGATGTGCCTCTGTTCCACCTTGTGCCCTTGGGGGTTTGGGGCTGGATCACCCCTTGCTGACCACACAGTGAGTCTCCCTTTTTCCTTTGACTATTAATGGAAAGGAAAGGCAGCAGGGATAACACAAAGCTTTGCTGCAGCCCTGCTTAGTCTGTAGAATTTTTCCAAGCCTTTTGCAGTACCAGCTGCCTCTCTGCAGGGCAAAAGTGCCTGTGGAGCAGCATGGAGGCATGCTAGACAGGATTGCAGCCAGTCCACAACAGCCAGCTCAAGTTCTCAAAGGCAGGACAGGATTCTTGGGCTTAGAATCAGCCAAATCAAACCATATCGCACAACATCTGTAGCCACTCACAAATCCCCAGAGCTCTTGTACCTTCAGATTGAGCAGTTGTGTGCAGGTTGGGTGCTTTCAGAGTACAGACATGGCCTTCCTTCCCTCAAACCTACCTGGTCTGAGGAGAATAAGCAGAATAAGCTGCCTTCTGCTGGAGTAATGGCTGGGGAGGCACTGCCATGGCTGGGGGCTGCAGGATGCGTGTGAAGCTGCACAGGGCAGAGGTGGAACAACTCTGCACACTCACAGCTCTTTTCCTTTCTTGGCAGCGGTGTGTTCAGTGCCATTGGCAGGATATTTAAGGAAGAAGGGATCCTGGGATTCTTTGTGTACGTGAGTTGCTGTTTAAATACTTTCTCTCATAGCCTGAAGACACTGATGGCTCTCTCAGCAGCTCTGCCAACCCGAGCAGGAGTCACACTGAGCTGAAACCTTGTCTGACCAAGGGAATCCCACATCACTCCCACGATTAAATCTATGCTTTTAACAGCACTCCAGTTTGACCATTAAGTTTGCCCCAGATCTTATCTTCAATCAGACCTTCAGAGCCCGGAGGAAGCTGTATTTTTTCTTATCTTTCTTTTTCCCTAGGTGTTTCAGTGAAGGGCCATTTAAAGCATTTGTTTGTGCAACAGGCACCAAGATCAAGTGTAACAATAAGTTCCCTTGTTGAAATGAAAGTCAGGGCCTGGATAAGCATCATATTCCTCTGCAGAGCACCGTGGTTGCTTGTAATGGGCAGCTTTACCTGTGTGCTTGGAGTGTGGTGGTGCCTGGACCAGGAGGAGCTGAAAGGTGTTTCCAGCTGCTTACAGAGCATGGCAAATTGGTGCATCACTGAAGTGGAAGTTTAGTGGACACGTTTTTGCTTGAACCCTTAATTAATGCTTCCTGCCTTTCTTTTTCACATCTTTATAAAAGCAAAACCACCTGCTGTCTCTGCTCATGGTGAGGAGATAATACACTTTATTATGTCAATAATAAAGTGGAATTTCAGTAGGGGTTTTCAGGATGTCTTTGGCTCTGCAGTCACAAAATATGGACCTCTAGATGAAATCTGAATGCATCAGGAAGAGGGAGGCAATCACAGGGGGTCCCACCCTGTCCTTCCCCAAGGGGAAATGGCCAGAGATCTGCAGAGACCCCATCCCTTGAGTGTCACTGCTTCTTCTTTTGGCAGCCCACAGTTTCTCAGCTGAGCTGTGCAGCTCCAAATCTGCTCCACTAAATACAGGATCCTCTGGGATGGTCCCTGTGAGTGAGGGATGGCTGGAGCAGGCTGCTCACAGCCCTCCACCTCCCAGGGAAGTGATCTGAAAGAAGCCACCACATTCCCTTCCATCCACATAGAACACTGCTGGTAGCCTAATGAAACTTAATGGTTCTCAGGAAAGGCTTTAACACAACCCAAATTGTCTCAGGAGGGCTCTGAAGTTCTACATGCTCTGTAATCCTGTTAGGAAATCCCACTGCTTTGAGGGGAGCACAAACTGCATCTGAAGGACCAAACTGTTGGTTTTCTCCTCTCAGCCCTGGTGCAATCCCAGCACATCCACTGCCTAAAATCATGGCAGTGCACTTGTTTCTCATGGCCTTATAACCACCCCCAGCAGTAACAGTGGCACACACTCTCTGGGTGTGTGCCTATCTAGAGATAAAGACTTTTCAAGGATGCATTTATCTCCCTTCCCCTCACATCTGCAGCAGGCTCCTGCCAGCCCAGGAAGGTGTTCCCTGAGCTCCAAAGCTGCTGGGCATGGTCAGCTCAGGGTTGGCTTGTCCCAGGTCCCTTGCACTGGGGTTTCTGCTGTTGGGTCACATTACTGTACATCATTGAGGCTTCCTCCTCTGCCTGCTGCTATTCCAGCTTTTCCTCATCTTCTAAAAATATTCCCAATTCAGATCTTGGACATCTCAGGTGTAAGAATTGCAGCACTCACTTTTTTATGTCAACAGTAGTAAAGCTGTGTAAAGGCAGCACTGGAATTTCAGGAGGGGTTTTCAGGCCTGATGTCTTTGGCTTGTTGGCTTTTTTTAGTTCCTTTCTGCAGCTCTCAGACTCCTGGTTTCCAGTCATCCAGCTCAGACAGCAGCTGTCATTGCTTTGGAGGGGAGGAAGGGATGGGATCCTTATTGGAATTGGAATAAACAGTCTGATTCCCTATCAACAGTTGGGTGAGGTTTTCCTTATGGGGCTGCCCTGGCCCAGCCCTTTGCTTCTGGACTTTATTAGGTTCTGTTGTATCTGCAGCAGGAGCTTCAGACTTAACTTAGAGTTAGAAAAAGAATGTTTTTTACAAAGGCTTAAAGCCAAACACAAAGCAGAACATCTCTTTGGGGCCAGAGAGCTTTGATTTCTTTGTCCTGTCTGCTGCTCTCATGTATGACATCTTTGAAGCCAGTGAATCTTCTGTTGAAGGTTTCTGCTGTGCCTGGCCCCTGAGATCTCAGCTGCATCCCCAGGGCTGCTGGGGCCTTAACAATGCACAGCTTGTTTCCAAAACCAGCCCCAGTTGCTGCTCTGCTGCTGCAGCAACCACAGCAGGAAACAAACTGGTCCATTGGTCTGAGGAGGCAACGTCGTGTTTGGGAAGAAATAAAAAACTCAGATTAATGTGCCTGGAGGTGGCTCTTTCCAGCTCAGCAAACACTTGTGTGGCTCTTGACTGGATCCTTTTGCACTGGAACAACCCCTGCAAAAGCAGGAAACCCTGCACTGCAGCACCAACAAACTGGAGAAACCCTCTGGAATATTTCGTTAAAGTTTTAGTGCTATTATCTGCAAAAGCTGGCAGTGCTGGTGCTGCTGGGAGCTCTAGTGTGTCAGTGGGAGGCATTAACCAAAGAACTGTGCTCCTGGGGGCAGCAGGGACTGGGAAAAAGAAGTGTTCCCTCAGCTACTCCCACTTCTCAGTGGAGCAGGTTGTGCAGGAACAGCCCCTCTCATTTTGATTTCTTAAAGAAGGGAGATTCCACAAAGAAATGAACTTCTGATTCTGCATCCAAAAGAGCATCTTCAGAAATGGAAATCACTTAATCTGTGTCTCACTTGGGTTTCTCAGCAAGAGTTGGGCTATGAAGGGATTTGGGATAGAACAAGGGGAATTGAGTCATGCCCAAAAAACAGATCCCAAAAAAATTTCAGCCAGAGCAGTACCTGTAGTACCAAGTTTGAAGGCTGAAAGAGCTGAAATCTCTCTTTTCAGTTCCTCCCAAAGTAAAAATTTCATTTTGGGGGTGTGGAGTTCCTCTGAGCTGGTAGAGGGAAGAAGGGCTGGGCATCTCAGGAGTTGACACTGGGACCCTCCTGCACCTCACACCCCTCTTTTTGCCCTTGCAGTGGGTTAGTCCCTCACATCCTGGGGGATGTCATCTTCCTCTGGTGCTGCAACCTCCTGGCTCACTTCATCAACACCTACGCTGTGGATGACAACGTGAGTGGAGGGAGGGCTCCTGAGGGAGGGCTTGGGGTCTGGACCAAGCACCTGCAGTGGGAAAGAGTAACTGGGAGCAGGGGCTGATTTAATACAGACCCCAGGCTTTGGGGACATCCCTATGAGAGAGCTGGAGGGGCTGTGTCTGCTCAGAGCTGTGCTGTTCCTGCACCCTGGGGGATCACAGTTCCCCAAATGCCTTCCCAGACTCTCAGCTGGAATGCAGCTGCTCTCCCTTGCTTTCTGCATCGTTCCCTGCCCCTTGCCCTTCACCTCAGGCACAGGAAGTGTCACGTAATGACAGTGCCAGCCTGGTGTCATCCCCTTGCTCCACAACCCCTTTGGTTTCTCTCTGCAGTTCAGCCAGGCATCGGTGATCCGGAGCTACACCAAGTTCGTGATGGGGGTATGTAGGCAGCTGCCCTGTCCTTCCCCCTCCTCCTGCCATCTCTGGGCTGAGAGCTCGTGCTCTGGGGACTAAGGCTGGTCTGTACTCAACATCCCTTATCCAAGGATAACTCTGCTAACATGCAAAAGCTGGAAATAGCGTTTTTGACATGGGGAGCGTTAGAGAGGCTGCTGGTTTTCTGTGCTTTCAGATCGCTGTGAGCATGCTGACCTACCCGTTTCTTCTCGTGGGAGATCTCATGGCAGTGAACAACTGTGGGTATGTCCTTCACACTGAGATCTAAAGCTTTCCCTTCCTTTCTTGCAGCCCCTTGTCTGAATGGGCTGCTAACGACCGTAAAGCTTTCCTACAGCCCCGTAAACTCTGTGGCACCTCGAAGAGCTGGCTCATTTCCTGTCCCAGGTTGCTTATAATTTTAGATCAGAGGGCACAGACACGAGCAGCAGAAAAGCTCAGGTGGTGAGAAATCGGGAGAGTTGTGGTGGTGTGGTCCGATCTGAGCTGAGCTGGAGGCACAGGGATCAAAAGGACAGTGCTGGCTCCAGGGAGCAGCACGAGGGAAGCAGAGTTCTTACTGCAGCGATGGGAGCAGACAGGAGCAGGACCAAGCCTGCCTTCCCAATTGCACTGCTGCAAATCTGCATTTTTGCTCATGAGAGCGGGATCCAAGTTTGATGGCGTGCTTTCTCAGTATCTGCTGCTTTTGAAGGTGTAGATACAGTCCTGGACTCTCAAAGTCTCCAGGCAATGCTCCTTGTTTGTGCACTCCAGGGGTAATTAAATTACAGATCTGCTGCATTGTAAATAACGAGCTGTCACTTGGCCGCCAGCCCGGTGCAGACACTGTCCCCGTGTCCTCATTCACACTTCCTGCTGCTCTTTTGTTACCTGTGTGGCTAAGGTGACACATCCAGCTCAGCTGTTCCCTGTTGCCGTGCAGGTTGCGTGCCGGCCTCCCTCCCTACGCTCCCGCCTTTGCATCCTGGATCCACTGCTGGAGGTACCTCAGTGCTCAGGTGAGGGAGCAGGGCACACACACGGCTTTGGGCTCCCTCTGCTCCTTTCCCAAATCTCCAGCATTCCCCAAAAGTGCCTGTGCTGCATCCTTGCCTTGCTCTGTAGCCTGATCCTACCCCTCCAGTTCTGGCACTGGTACCAGCGTGGCAGTGCTGCTCTGCCCATTGCACACCCCGAGCTTTTATCCCGTGCATTGCACACAGCAGAGTCTGTTCCCCTCTGCATCTGTCACCCCTGCGGGAAATGCTCCGTGGGTGCTGGAACCTCACTTTGTCCTGCAGAGCAGCCCAGGGTGCCCAGGCTTTGCAGCCCTGCCTTGGCCATGGAGTCGGGCCCTGCTAAGACAGCTGCAGTTCCCTGGGCAGGTCTCAGGCTGCCCTGACCCCGGGCTCTCCTCCTCAGGGGCAGCTGTTCCGTGGCTCCAGCCTGCTGTTCCGCAGGGCGCCCGTCCCAGCCGCCTCCTTCCCCATCGACTGAGCCTCGGCAGGGACAGCTCATCAACGTGGACTCCTCAAGAAACCCCAAGCTTGTTTCGGTATCTGTATATTTCTATTTTCTGATCCAAAGTCCATGGTGCCACAACTGACACCTCCTCTCCAGCAAGGCCAGGAACAGACTTCTGGACATCTGGCTCATGCTCCAGCTGGACCAAAGCTCCATCCTCATGGCTGTCTCGACTGGATGTGTCGCAGAGAGAGCAGAAAGCCTTTGTCTCTTTGGTCCAGGCTGTAGCTCTGGAGTTGTTGGGGAAGTCCAGGAATCCAGAAAATGCCCAGGTACTAAAGGAGCCAGCCATGAGCTGCAGGGACAAAAGACTGCTTTGTTCTGCCTGAGCTGAAAAGCAGCAGGAGATTCAAGGTCACCTCCCTGGGAAGGTTATGCCAGGTGACAGCCTCCTGCCTCAGCCTTTCTGGAGAGAGCTCCTTTGCCTGGCAGGTAGCTCATCCTGGGCAAGATCAACCTGGCAACCATATTTAAGGTTTGAGGGTACCTGAACACCCAGGAGCATCCCACCTCCCATGGGCAGGAAAAGGAAATTATAGGATCAAAACAGGGAAGGGAAGCTGAGTCCTACTGCAAAGAACAGAAGAGTCCCAAAGAGCAGGTCCAGCCCAGCTCAGGGCAGCAATGGGATGTGGACATGGAGAGAGCCCTTGGGAAGGGACCTGTGCTGCCAGTGGTGCTGCTTTGGGCAGGATTTCAGTCGTGGAATGGACTGTGTTTAGGATACACCCAGCAGAGCTGTGGGCTGGGCAGGCAGCCTGCACACTCTGGGGGAGGCAGGTGCTGGGTTGGACTGTCCTGGCTGCACCAAGGGGTATCTCCCAGCCAGCAGCACCACGAGCCCTGCTGGGCTCCTGCTCCTGTCACTGATGGAAACGGAGCTGCTGGGATCTGAGAGCTGCACACAAAGGCCTCTCCTTCATCTGGGGCAGCCTGCAGCCTGTCCAGGGCTATCTGCAATGAAGGGATACACCTTGAGCTGGCCAAAGGCTGGTGTTCAGTGGAGTATGGCTGGCTCTATGTGTAGCAGAGCTCACCAGTGGCACCAGGGCAGGATTGATGCTCAGCTCCCCAAATAAGAATTTCTTTGCACCAGTCTGTGCTGTGATGGCAGCCAGGCAGATTTCCCGTTTCAGTTCCCCACGAAGCAGTCTTTTGCACAGAGGTGATGCTGCACTCCCTGGGAAGAGGTTTAGCATTTCTTGAGCAGGTTCCCATGTGCTGCAGCAGCAGCAGCTGGGGTTACATCTCATCCTGGTCCTCTGGGGACCTGCCATCACAGGGGTTTTTTTTCTCCAGCAGGCAGGGTCGATGCACACCCCCAGGCAGGGCTTGCAGGGCAGTGGTGGTGCGTGCTGGGGCTGGCAGCCCCCACCCAGCTCCCTTCAGTGTCGTGAAGTTGGTCCTGTCTGTCCTCCCTCAATCCCATTTGTGTTACAGTTAAATAATGCATGGACCTGTTCTCTAACACCAGAGATTATTTCAAAGAGGATTTAATTATGCTCCAAAATACAGTTATAAAACAACTATTGGGTGGTTTGTTTTTTTGGGTTTTTTTGGTGATTTTTTTTCCCCTGCATAATGTGCTCCCTCAGGGAAGGTTTCAGTTTAAGACAGGCACTTCCTTTGGTCCTTTCTCCAAATCAGGGGCTAAACCAGATGTTTAAAACTCAGATTCCCTCTGATTTTCCTCACCTCCATGGAAGGTGGGCATATTTAGGCTGAGCAAACTGCAGTGGGTGCACCTGGAGTGAGGCAACAGAGGGCTTGGGTGCTTGAAATAATATATGTGGAATTAGGTTTTTGGAGTTAAAATTGACCCTGACATCTTCTGGAAGGGGTGATGGAGACCCTTTGCTGCTCTCAGACTTGTGAGGTGGGCCCAGCCATTCCATCTTCCCTCACAGCTCCATCCTTCCCTACTGGCCTTCAATCAACTTGTTTTATGACCTGCTGCAACACAGGGCATTGCACCTTCCAGGTCACACAGCACCTGCTCAGGAACAAGTACCTTTGCCCTCCAAATTAAAGCCATCTTCTGCTGCTCCATTGCCTGTCAAACTTCTTGCAGCCTCTGCACGGCCTGCCTGCAGCCACTGCAGGGAAAAGTGCTATTTCCTGTCCTTTCAGGAATTTACCTAAGGGATTTACCTAAAGCTGCACCAGTGTATGCATCCTGCCAGTAATTTCTGCCCAGTTCATCAGGGCCCACAGACTTGGCTGAAAACCCAACAGTTGACTGTAATTTTTGCTCAATTTAAATGAAAACCAGGTTTCAAAGCTTTCAGTGCACTGCCTTACTTTGAAGCAAGGGGCTGCCATTCTTAGGATGATTGAATATTTTCTCACCTCCTGATTCTTCTTGTCCCATTCTTCATTTGAGGGGCCCCACCACCAGGATAAATCTCTGCACCGGGAGCAGGCAAGGAGACAACCCAAACCCTGCTTGGGCATCCCTCTGCTTTAAATTGCTACCTATTAGTCTGTGCCTGACCCTGCAGCTGGTGCTCAGGTATCCCAGCTGAAGGGGATGGGGCCCCATTCCCACAGGAGAGGGGATCCAGGGTGGAACATGTGGTCGGGAGAATAAATGAAGGGGTGGAGGAGGAGGTTTGGGTCTGGCTCCTGGGATGGAGTTAGGGGTTTCTCCCACTGGTGCTCCCCTGTCTGCCCAGGAAACAAACTCTGGTTTAAATATTGACTCTCCTGCACAAAGCCAGGCTGAGTGGGGATCGCTGCTGTTCTGTGCCCGTGCCGTTTATCAGCCTCCAGTGGAGAGCTGAGATTGCCGGGACTTTGGCCTCATCTGCTCCCAGCTGCCCGGGGGAGAAGGGAGGCAGCGACAGCAGCCAGGAGAGGGAATCTCAGGTCAAGGCTGCTCTGTCTCCGCTGGGCATGGATGCTCGAGTCTGGCAGGATCTGGAAAGCAGCAAGATGAGCCTTTGTGCCCAGGGAAGTGCAGCTGAGCTCAGAGCCAATGCTCCATCCTCTCCTCTCCCCTGCAGAGCCGTTCTGCTGAAGACCGTCCAATTCAGTCCAAACCCCCTCCTGGCCATGCCACTCTCCTGCCATGGAGCTGGGAGGGAAGCATCCCAGAGAGCTCTCCCGATGCCTGGATGGTGCCTGGTGTCTCCCTGGTGTCTGGTCAGTGGAAGGCCAGGGGCTGCCAACCCTCCCCCTCAGCCATGGAGGGCCCCATCTTGCAGCCACGCATGAGGAAGTGCCCTGTGGCACAGCTGCCCTCGATAAGGCTGTTTGCTCTGTTCTCCTGCAGCGCTGAGCTCCACGTAGGCAAATAATTCCTTAAAAGAAAAAAAAAAAGAAAAAAATAATAACCCTCACAGAGGAGATTCTGCTGCCGGGGTGGTGGGGCCGGTTGGTGCCTGGAAATGCTCAGGGTGGGGACTTGGACTGGACCCAGGCAGCAGCAGTGCGGTGGCTCTGGACCTGTCCCTGTCTTCACACAGCCATCCATCCCCTGGGATGGCCTCCACTTGAAATGCAGGATCCAGAGCCTCATGGATTCCCACCTGGATAAGGGAAATCCCATCTGGAAACAAGAAGAGGCCACAAAGATCACGGGAGCAAAGCTCGGCACAGCGGCCTGACTGCCACGCTGACAGTGACACGGCTGGTAAGAGGATGGGAAGGATGTGGGGAAGCTGCTTTCCATGCTCCTGCTTGCCTGCTGTAGGCCTTTTAGGGTAAACTCCCTGAAATCCCCCTAATCTAAGATGCTGTGTTCCCTCCTGGGCAGTGCTGGTGGTATTTCATCCCACCCTGAGGGGATCTGGGTCTTTTGGGGAAGAGGTGGCAGCACAAGGTCAGCACAAGGTCAGACTCCTTTCCCTGCAGCCACCGTGACCCCTGCACACCTGCCTCAGCACTTACACCGTGCTGGACCCCCCATCCCAGGGGAGAAACAGGAGGGGCAAAGTCTCCCCAGCTTCAAACTCAGCCCCTCTCCCCCCGCCGTGACCCCAGGCCGGGCTGGCGTGGCGAGGGTGGGCATGGCTGCGGCTGCGGCCCTGGCTCGAGGCGCTGACCCTCGCTGCAGACCTGTGAACGCTCCCATCCCTCGCGATGGAGCTGCTCCCCGGGAAGCCGCCTGCGCTCTGCGGCCGGGCGGCTCTTGTCAGGCTGCCAGAGGAGGCCGGAGCAGCGTCACATGCAGCAAAGTTTTACAAGGCGAGCGAGCGGCTGGGGAGAGGGACGGGAGAGGGACCGACACCGCACGGACGCGCACGCGGAGGAACCTCCAGGCTCCCTCCAGCTCTCATCCCAACGCTGATTTTTTTTTCCTTTCGTCCTTTTTTGCTTTTGTTTTTGGAAGAACAAAGACTTTGGGGTGGGTTGGCGCTGTTGTTTTTCCGGGGTTGCTGTCGGTGGACGGGGGGAGGCTGGAGGTGGAGGGGGGAACCGGTGGCTTGAATGCAAGAAAGTCCCAAATTTCCCTGGCCGAGTTGCCGAGATCGTCTGTGCGAAACTTAGGGGAGGAAAGACGGGGGAGGGGGGGGGAAATAATTAAAAAATAAAATATGATTACGTCACTCGGAGCAGGGGTGCCTTCCCTGCTGCCTGTCAGATGCGCCTGAAAAGAACAGGGCAATAAAACAACAGCCGCCTCTGTCTCCCTCGTTAAACACGGCACTAATTGGATGTTAATTTTTCCTTGCTCTTCTCGCTGCTCGATTGTGAGGGCTCTGCCTGGCTCTCCCTCTCCTGCTTCCTTTCTTTCCTGTTGCAATGCTCTTGGCAGCTCTGAGGGACTCCGGACTGTGCGCTCTCCTCCCGCTCGTGGACTGGAATAATTCAGGAGCTGGGAGAATTAAAAAAGACGAGGCGCGGGGGCGAACGGTTCAGAAACGGGGCGGGCGTGATGGATTTTGAGAGCTACGCTAATCTCCCCGTTTCCCGTGCATTGTCCTGCCGACTTGGAGCTATTCTTTTCCCATTTGATTTCTCTTCCCCTCCTTTCCCTTCGTGTTGGGTTTGGACTGCAGGGCAAAAATATATGTTTCAAAAAAAAAAAAAAAAAA